TGTGTGTGTGTGTGTGTGTGTATACACACATATATATACCAATACCACATCTTCTTTATCCATTCATCTGTTGATGGACATTTGGGCTCTTTCCATACTTGGGCTATTGTTGATAGTGCTGCTATAAACATGGGGGTGCACGTGTCCTTTCGAAACAGCACACCTGTATCCCTTGGATAAATACCTAGTAGTGCAATTGCTGGGCTGTAGGGTAGTTCTATTTTTAGTTTTCTGAGGAACCTCTATACTGTTTTCCAGAGTGGCTGCACCAGCTTACATTCTCAAAACTTTATATCTTAACAGTGGCATTTTCTAATTCATGAATGTGATATCTGTGTCTACTTAGGTTTTAAAAATATTTCAGCAATGTAATTTTCAGTGTAAAGATCTTACACATTTAAAAAATGTTTTTAAAAGTTTATTTTACTTATTTTGAGAGAGAGAGAGAGAGAGAACATAGGAGGGGCAGAGAGAGGAGAGAGGGAGAATCCCAAGCAGGCTCTGTACCATCAGCACAGAGCCTGATGTGGGGCTCAAACTCACGAACTGCGAAATCATGACTTGAGCCAAAATCAAGAGTTGGTCACTTATCCTACTGCGCCACCCAGGTGCCCCAAGATCTTACACATTTTTAAATTTCTTCCCAAATATTTTATGTCTTTTGGTGCTGTTGTAAATAGTTTTTTTTTCCGATTTTATTTTGTAGTTGTTCCTTCCCAAATATCTAAAGAGTGTTCTTTGTGTGGAATTGTCCCATACTTTGCAAGAAGTTCAGCATTCCTGCACCTCTCCCAACAAATGACAGTAGTACTGTCCAGTCATGACAGCAAAAATTTCCCAGACATTTCCAAGTGTTCCCTTCAGGAGAAGGGGGAGGGACTTATAACAACTATGGTGGTTATGTCACTGGAATGGAGAAATGACCCCAGAGCCATGCTTACCTAGGAATCCAAAAAAGCACTGAGTTTTTCTACCATTTTATGAATATAATTATAATTCTGGGCTTTCGTATTTGTGCAGGGCATTGTATAACTTTATATACAACCTTACCACCTTTAGAAAACCTACATTTAGCACTATTCCAGAACCAATGAAAAAAATATAAATTTATAGGTAGCATTGTATGGAATAATGGAAACAAAGGGTCCTCGTGAGAGGAGACCTTCTTTGGGGCAACATTTTTATGAAACTGCTCCTTCACAGCCAAAACAAAGGAATCATAAAATTCTGAGATGTGAGGTGTTATCTTTATGTTTACAAATAGGACATTTTAATCTCTTCTAAAGAGTTAGGTACTATCGATTTTGCTTTGAATCCAGCTTTTTAGTATGAGTTCTTAGTCCTGTGTGCCTTGGAAATTTTTTATATTACTACATTATTTGACACATAGTAGGTGGTCATTAAGTCTTTGATAAATGATTTATGTCCATCCTATTTGCTGTCTTTCCTTTAAGCTCTCATTGGTTGCTTCAAAAAATTTGTGTTAGGAAAATAGCATTACATGTAATATAGTCATTGTGTTAAAATAGTTTAGCGTCTTAGAATTAATAGTTGATCATTTTTTTATTTTGAAGGCACAGCAGCAACGCCATGAAAGAGACTTGGCCCTTTTGAAATTGAAGGCTGAGCAAGAGGCTCTGGAGTGTCAGAGACAATTAGAAGAAACCCGAAACAAAGCAGCTCAGGTACTTATTTTTGCAACGGGTACTGGTTATTTGTACCTAAATTTGTATCTTTGAAATGGTGTTAGTATTCTTTTAATTATATAGGAGTGTAAAAGAAAAGATGTAAATAATAGTGCTTTCATATGTTATGCCATATGGGGTAATTTCCTGTCATTTTATTCCTGTGAAATAAATTAGTCAGGATTTATCCCCAATTTAGAGAAGCGGCAACTGAGGTGTTAAAAAAATTTTTTTTAACATTTATTTATTTTTGAGACAGAGAGAGACAGAGCATGAACGGGGGAGGGTCAGAGAGAGGGAGACACAGAATCTGAAACAGGCTCCAGGCTCTGAGCTGTTAGCACAGAGCCCGATGCGGGGCTCGTACTCACGGACCGTGAGATCATGACCTGAGCCGACATCGGCCGCTTAACCGACTGAGCCACCCAGGTGCCCTGCAGTTACTTGTTTAAAGAAACCTCAACTCATGAACACTGGGGTTAAAAATTAAACTCCAGCAGTGATTTTAAGACTCTAGATTTTAAGACAAGAAACCCAGATAATAGTCTAATGTTTTATTTTACAAGGCATTTGATCCGTGAAACAATTTTACAAATTAAAGCTAATTTGGGGTAGGGAGAGACTGTGACATAACATAACATAAGCTCTCTTTTTACTCCTTTTTATTTTCAGGTCCATGCAGAATCATTACAGCAGGTGGTCAAATCACAGCGGGAAGTCACCGAAGTCCTGCAGGAAGCAACTTGTAAAATAGCTGCTCAGCAAACAGAGACTGCTCGCCTCACCACAGATGCAGCTCGCCAAATTTGTGAAGTAAGAGCCATTGAGAGCCCTTTTCTTTTTAGTCATGCTGAGTAACTTTGGTCTTCACCATAATGGGTTTCTAACATTTAGCAAATACATACTTTCTTTTTTTCAAAGATTTATTTTATTTATTTATTTAAATTATTTTTTTTAATGTTTACTTTTGAGAGAGAGAGAGAGACAGAGTGCAAGCAGGGGAGGGGCAGAGAGAGAGAGGGAGACACAGAATCTGAAAGCTTCAGGCTCCAGGCTCCGAGCTGTCAGCACAAAGCCCGACGTGGGGCTCGAACTCATGAACCACGAGATCATGACCTGAGCCAAAGTCAGATGCTCAACCGACTGAGCCACCAAGGTGCCCCGCAAATACATACTTTTAATCAGTGACTTTCAGTGGGAGCCATACACTATTGAATTAAGAGGCACCATTTATTGTAGTATATTATACATGTGAGTGATACAGACGCTGGAAAAAAAGATGGAGAAACTCTAAATGTCTGTCCTAGAGTAAGCTTTTAAAAAATATATTGACTTTATGAGGCATGGGTGGCTCATTTGGTTAAGTGTCTGACTCTTGATTTCAGCTCAGGTCACAATCTCATGGGGGTGAGATGGAGCCCTGCGTCAGGCTCCGTGCTGGACGTGGGGCTGCTTAAGATCCTCTCTCTCCCTCTTCCTTTGCCTGTCCCCTGCTCTCTCTTTCTCTCTCAAATACATACATACATACAAAAATAAAATCTTTCAAATATATATACTGATTTTATGATGTATAATTTACTAATAATAAAATATATCCATTATAAGTATACTGTTTGATGAGTTTTGATACATACGTAAGATACATTTGTCAAATAGATGTAGCTACCATATCTATATATATATGTGTCTTTTTTATCTATCTATCTATCTATCCCTATAAACACCACCGTAATCAAGAAAAAGATTACAGCTGACTCTTAGGGCGCCGGGTTGACCCAGTGGGTTAGGCGTCTGACTCTCAATTTTGGCTCAGGTCATGATCTTATGGGTGGGATGAAGTCCTGTGTCAGGCTCTGCACTGTTGCGGAGCCTGCTTGGGATGCTCTCTCTCTCTCTCTCTCTCTCTTTCTCCTCCTCCTCCTCTCTCTCTCTCTCTCAATAAATAGATAAACTTTAAAAAAGAAAGAATACAGCTGACTCTTGAAAAACATGCATTTGAACTGTAAAGGTCAACTGCAAATTTTTTTGACAAATACCTTACGGTACTATGAATGTAATTTTTCTTCCTTAGGATTTTCTTCATAACATTTTCTTTCCTCTAGCTTACTGTAAGAATTATATATATATACCCAATTATACATATATACAATGTAGTGTATGATATATATAACGTCCCAAATATGTGTGAATCAACTTTATGTTAGTGGTAAGGCTTCTAGTCAACAGTAGACTATTAGTAGTTCAATTCTGGGGAAGTCAAAAGTTATGCATGGATTTTTGGCTGCATGTGGATGTTACTAAAAAGCCACAAACCTGTGTTGGGTACAGTGGGATTGTGCAAATAAGTTTGAATTATTTTAAGAAAATTTTAGACAACACTAAGAAAGATTTCAAAAACGCTTCAAGTTGTCAAGGCAGTGACTGAATAAATACCAGATGAGTAATACATGGAGCCTTCGCAGAATTGCCTAATAATAGGGAAAACACTTGACATTGTAGGTCAGAAAACAGATAGGAAGTAGTAATTGAATTGATTCTTGAAGGAAGATTTAATTTTTGGTTTACTATGGCCTATTATATGACTTGAAGATTTTGTCTTAATTCATAGTGCTGTAACTGGATGAACCCTTAGAAATCATGTGCTCCATCCAACTCTTTGTTTTTATAAGGAAGCTATTGAGACTAAAAGAGTCTAAATGACTTGCCCACGGCACTTTACCTATTATGGCAGAATTAACTTGCTCTCAATCCAGTGACCTTTTTTTTTTTTTAAATTTTTTTTTTAATGTTTATTTGTTTTTGAAGGAGAGAGAGAGACAGAGTGTGAGTGGCGGAGGGGCAGAGAGAGAGGGAGACACAGAATCCAAAGCAGGCTCCAGGCTCTGAGCTGTCAGCACAGAGTCTGACGCGGGGCTCAAACTCACAAACTGTGAGATCATGACCTGAGCCGAAGTCGGACGCTCAACCGACTGAGCCACCTAGGCGCCCCTCAATCCAGTGACCTTTCAAAGACACTATGCTCCTTCTCAGTTTCTGTGATGTTACCATTTTTTAATGTCTGCTTTTGCCTTGTGTGTGTTCTTATTTAGATGGCAGAGTTGACTCGGACTCATATCTCAGATGCCATTACTGCTTCAGGAGCTCCCCTAGCAACGCTGTATGACCACCAGCGGCAGCATGCTCCCGACTTCGTGAAACAGCTGAGGACCAGAGCTGAAGCAGATAGGTTAATATTCAGTCATTCGGCAAATGTGCAATGAGTGTCTACTATGTCCCAGGCACTGTTGTGCATACAGGGAATATAGTTACAGACATACAGTTTGGGGGGGGGGGGGGGGGGGGGGATAGATATTGTAATCAAATATTCACTTAGGTGAAGTTACACTTACAAACAGGTTAAGTGTTACAAGAGAAAAGAACATATGTCCCTGAGATATGTGACAAAGGAATTTGAATAGCTTGGGGATGCAGGGACATCAGAGAAGATTTTCCTGAGGAAGTAAAGTTATGGGGAGCTCTAGTGGGTGAAAAGGAGTGAGTGATGTAAAGGAGAAAGAATAGGCAGGTCAGTACAGGCAAAGGTAGGAAGAGAAAATGAGGGAAGACTAATGTGACTGGAGGCAGAGAGCAAAGGGGAGAATGGTGGGAGATAGTGCAGGGACCGGAGTATGGTAGGGCATTGCAGACCCAGAGGATTTTGGAGTTTATTCTACGAACAATGAAAAGTCATTTGAGAATTTTTAGGCAGCCTGGGTGATGTGATCATGCTTGTGTGTTTTTTTTTTTTTCACATCACATTTTGACCGTCTCTGATTCATCAATTTTAAGGCTATTTATATTTATTGATACCTGGGGTGATTTGTGTTTATTTGTCATAAAGCAGAAGATACTATTTTCTATGCATGAATGCCTTTCTCAGATACTTTGTAATAGCTGTTTCAGAATTTCTGTTTATTCAAGATTTTATCTCGTATTGATGTTAAATGGTTTTTAAAGCCCTTCTCTTATTAGAGGCTTTAAATATTTAATCAGGTTTTTTTGTCTTTGTAGGAAAAGTCCATCTGTTTCACTCTCCCAGAGTAAAGAAGGGACCCTTGACTCAAAGCATCAGAAGTATTCCCCTTCATATGATAGTTATTCTGAGTCATCAAGATATAAGAATCATGATCGAAGGTAAAAACAGTATGATTTAGTAAAATCTGATAAATGGCTTAGACATTGCTTTTTCTTTTTTACTTTTAATCTCACTTCTTTATATGAAATAGTTTTTTCCCCTTCAAAGTTCGGACTTCCCCATTTGATTAGCTGATTTATAAAATAGTTGCTCCTTGTAGTAATGTAACTACCATTCCTTGGAGCCTGCATTGTACAAGCACTATGTAAGTTTGTTTTTCCTACGTTTAATTTTAACCACCTTCCAAAACAGATACTGCCCTCATTTTATAGTAGGGAACAGAGGCTCATGGAGCTGTTAGAAACTCACCCAAGGTCACATAGATAGTGGCACACCAAGGAATTGAACCTTGGTTTATCTGACTCCAAGGTCTATATTTATTGTCCATTGCTTTGCTAACATCCATATTTCTTGACATTACTGCATCTACTAATTTTTATCATCATAAAAGAAGATCAAATACTTAGTCGTTGGTTCTTACGTGGTATTAATATCTGTAGTTTTCAATTCTGTCCTTGGGTTAGAAGATTTTCAAAGCCACTTTTCTAGCATTCCTCCAGGTAGGATACCCACATTGTCAAAGTAAAACCTCAATTAAAAAAATTAAGTCATGAGGGGTGCGTGGGTAGCTCAGTTGGTTAAGCGTCCTACTTCGGCTCAGGTCATGTTCTCACAGTTTGTGGGTTCTAGCCCCGCGTTGGGCTCTGTGCTGACAGCTCAGAGCCTGGAGCCTGCTTCAGATTCTGTGTATCCCTCTCTCTCTGACCCTCCCCTGCTTGTGCTCTCTGTCTCTCAAAAATAAATAATACCAAAAAATAAAGTCATGAGACTAAAAAGCATTATTGTTGGGTATTAAGTATCTGCTATATCTCTGGAGCTGTATGATTTTCATTTAAGCTTCACTGATACTTTGTTCATTTAGGCTGTCCACTGTCCACTGGGTTACTACAGTGGATTCCTAATAGGTTTCCCTGTTCTCTTACCTTTCCCCAGTCTCTGTACAACCACATGGTAACTAGGTGATTTTTCTAAAATTTTCAGTCAATTTGCTTTTTTTCAAGTTTATTCATTTTTGAGAGAGAGAGACAGAGACAGAGCGTGAGCAGGAGAGGAGCAGAGAGAGAGGGAGACACAGAATCTGAAGCAGGCTCCAGGCTCTGTGCTGTCAGCATAGTGCCTGATGCGGGGGTCAAACTCATGAACTGAAAGATTATGACCTGAGCTGAAGTCTGAGGCTTAACCAGCTGAGCCATTCAGGTGCCCCTGCAGTCAATTTGCTATTCACCTGTTTGAAACCTTCTGTATTTCTTTAGAGCCACTTAGTAGAGCATGAAAGTTCCTTTATTATTGCGGCTTTGGTCCATGCCCCCTGTCTCTTGGCATTTTCCCCTTTTTCATATTCCACTAATTGTAACTACTCTATTCTAATTCTCTACAAGAACCATGCTCTCTTTGTCTTTTGTACCATTACATATGATGTACCTGTTTTCTAGACCTTCTCTCCTCTATTTCATTCAGTTTACTTTTACTGCCCCTCCAAGAATCAGTCTGCTCTAGATAATGCCTTCTATGTGTTCTCCCATAGCACTCCAAATGTAACTGTTACAGCCTCTACTGCCTTCTATATCCCATTCCTTTATTTGTCAGTTACGGACTAGACTAGAAGTTCTTTGAGGCCTTCATTTTCTTCACCCCCGGAAGAAGCCCTGTATCCATTAGCAATCACTTCCCCTCCTCCTCCTCCTCCTCCTCTTCCTGCTTCTTTTTTTTAAAATAAAGTTTATTGTCAAGTTGGCTAACATACAGTATGCTCTTGGTTTTGGGGGTAGATTCCTGTGATTCATTACTTAAATACAACACCCGGTGCTCATCCCAACAAGTGCCCTCCTCAATGCCCATGACTCATTTTCCCCTCTCCCCCCATCTCCCCTCCCCATTAACCCTCTGTTTGTTCTCTGTATTTAAGGGTCTCTTATGGTTTGCCTCCCTCCCTCTCTGTTTGTAACTAATTTTTTCCCCTTCCTTTCCCTCATGGTCTTCTGTTAAGTTTCTCAAGTTCCACATAGAGTGAAAACATATGATATCTGTTTTTCTCTGACTGACTTATTTCATTTAGCATAATACCCTCCAATTCCATCCACGTTGCTGCAAATGGCAGGATTTCATTCTTTCTCATTGCCAAGTAGTATTCCATTGTATATATAAACACATATTTTTAAAAAAATTTTTAATGTTTATTCATTTTTGAGAGACAGAGAGAGATAGAGCGTGAGTGGGGGAGGGGCAGAGAGATGGAGACACAGAATCCAAAGCAGGCTTTGAGCTCTGAGCTCTGAGCTCCGAGCTGTCCGCACAGAGCCTGACTTGGGGCTCGAACCCACTAACCATGAGATCATGACCTGAGCCAAAATCAGACACTTCACCAACTGAGCCACCCACGCGCCTGTCTTTTTTATTATAGCCATCCGAATGAGGACTGCTATCCCTAGAACTTAGCAAAATGCCTAGCACACAGAAGGCAGGCAATCTACTGCATGTTTATTCAGTGAGTGATTACTGGTACATACTGCTGAATGGAATAACTGAGGTTAATCCCATATCCTTCTGACTTTAAAGCACTTGCTGGCTCCTGCATTGTATCTTTTACCTTATAGCTATATTATAGGGTTTATACTTTCAAAAACATTATTAAACTGGACATATAATTGCACAATATTCTGATAAATACTATTTTAGAAACCTACACAAAAAAACTCAGTACAAATACAGATACAGAGGTGACCAAATCTTCCTTGGGAGTGGGAGAAGGTATCCACAAGCACTTTGCAGAAATGATACTTGAACTGAGTCTTAAATTAGCAGTTTATTAGGCAGACAGGGAAGGAAGGGCATTTCAGAAGAGGAGAGAACTCATGCAGAGGCTCTCAAAACACGGCTTGTGATTGGCTATGTCTCTCCATGTATATTTAAATTAATGAATAAACTTAGGAAAGCAAAGGGGGAGAAAGGAAAACACTGACTTCGAAAACAAGTTTGCTGAGCATTTGGAAATTTAAGGCTTAAAGTCAGGGGAAGGACAAAGCTAGCTGATACAGATTTGAGGCTCAATCTAAATGACCATAGTTAAAATTATAGAGATGCATAATCCCTATCAAAATAACACCAGCATTCTTCACAGAGCTAGAACAAATAATCCTAAAATTTGTATGGAACCAGAAAAGTTCCCTAATAGCCAAAGCAATCTTGAAAAAGAAAACCAAAGCAGGAGGCATCACAATCCCAGACTTCAAGCTGTATTACAAAGCTGTAATCATCAAGACAGTATGGTACTGGCACAAGAACAGACACTTAGATCAATGGAACAGATTAGAGCACCCAGAAATGGACCCACAAACGTATGGCCAACTAATCTTTGACAAAGCAAGAAAGAATATCCAATGGAA